ACCTCCCTGTGGTTCGACCCCGGTCTTGCCGAGTTATTTATTACTTCGACACTCCTGCACTTGGGAGAAGACATCAATCTTTTAATCGTGTCACTTAACATATGCAAAATTAGTAAACTCGATTCGATTTTACGAGTTTACTAAATTATGATATGAACCAAGTCAGGTTCAAATTTAGCCTTAAAATATCTACCGATTAATTTTGCGAGATTAAACATATTTTTCAAACCATATATTGGATAAAGCTAAAATTTTACAAGGAAATATTAGATGCATGAAAATATATTGTGGTAATTTTTTAGGTCAAATAGAGTTAGAGAACAAGAACATAATATTTCAAAGGGTCAAAGTTAGTAAACTAATATTATCAAATATGTCAAATAAGACCTTCGTGTATTGCTTTGGATATATCTAGAGCTACAGGTAAAATTTGCTTCGATTAAAGTTAGGATATAATTAGATATCTGAAACTTTCCAACTATATATCGTAGGCCCAATAATTCATCAAAATGAGAGAAAACAACATGTTTGAAATCAGGACTCAAATCTGCCAAGAATATACAAAAATTAGAGATTCAAGTTATATGAAGAAATTTTAACATGAAAACTTTTTTAGTATTCTATTTTATTTATTTATTTAATTTTAAATAATTATTTTTAATTTAAATTTTTTTCTAGCGTATTAGACATTGTTTAGAGATTTATTTCATTATTGAATTTATATTTGTTAATTATTAATTTAAACTCATTAGTTTCTAATCCAAAAAGGATCTATCAAGACTTAATGTAATGGAAATAACTAGGTTGTTATTAAATTTATATATGCTTCCTATCTTTTAGTGATTCTCATGCATTAAGAAATTTTATTTTGTAACTTTTTATTTTTCTATATCATTAATTTTTTTATTTTATTTAGATCATTTATTGATTATAAATAATTAACTTATTTTATCTTATTTTAATACAATTTATTTTTTAATTAAAATTATTAATATATAATTAATTAAAAAATTACTTATAATTTTATAATTTTCCTATTTGAATTTACAATCTAAATTTATATTATATTTTTTAAACTATATCAAAACAAAAAAAAAATTGTTAATAACCTTTACTACAAGGATAAGGAAGAGACACGATAAAACACTACAAAATTTAACCATAAGAGGCTGACAAGGCAACAAAAAATTACGCAGCTTTGAAAGACCATCTCCTCAAAACAAAAACAAAACCAATTATCCGACGGCACTTCTTTAGGGTTCATAAAGTCAAACAGGAACGCGCTTGCTTAATCACTTACTACTTCAAACAGAGAGAGAGAGAAAACGATGGGGTCTAGAGACAAGGACCAAACGGCACCGCATCACCAGCCTCTCCTTAGCAGCCTCGTTGTACGTCCATCTGTCAGCGACGGAGGTGATGCCGCCGGAGGTGGAGGCCGAGCCGGTGGTAGCGATTACGAGCCTGGCGAGGTCCGCCGTGAACTTCCATCGTATTCTCGCTCCGATCGATACTCTGACGATCCTGGTTCGGTTTTTTCCTCTTTATTTTAGCTTGTTCGTTTTTTTTTTAATCTGCTTTTATTTTAATTAATATTCATATATGTGAAGTCCATTCTTTTCTTTTTTTGAAACCCTAGATCGGAGTAGTAGAGTTATTTGAGTCATAATATAATGATACGATTGGCTGTAGATTTATTTTCAGCTCTAGAACTAGCATTCTGAAAGCTATGTTTTTTTTTATTATTATTTTATGAATTGTGTGTTTGAAGGACAGGAGTGGAGTGATCCGAGGGGAAGTTTTCCTTATAATAACACAATTCATGACATGAATGAAATTGATTGGTTATTTTAGGTTGCAATGTGCACCTTTTATTGCTTAGTTTATGGAAATCATCGTTTAATTATGTGTAAAGTCTTCTGATATCGATAATGAAGCTAATATTAACTATTTCGAATCTAGCTTGTATCTCATAGAATGAGAACATATCGGTTTAATTGTGTAACTTTGTTGGGTGGAGCTCGGTTTAATTTTGTAATCCTGTGTATGCTTTGTTTGTTGCTTCATAAAAGTTGATAGTGGAATGCTGAGGTGGCATCATTTCACAGTTTGATGTTAAGCCTCCAAATGATTGAATTGCTGGAAACTTTACAGTGGGTCATCTGGTTAAAATATCCTTCTAGCTTATGTTAAAATATTGGGCATTAAAATGGTGATACCAAGTGTTTGTCAATATGTGATGATTCAAGTAGAAGGATTTAGAACTGAAAAGAAAATACATCGACCTTTTCGTCTATTGTGTATCCAATTGTGATCTTCCTCTTCTTCTTTTTTCCAATTAATTTAGCAATGATGTTTCTAATTTGTAGAATAAACAATGAATCCTGTAAGTGAATGTTGTAATCACATTCAACTTTCCAGAGGTTAGGTAAATGTTGAAAATACCAAAAATAATAAAAAAATAATAGTTTTTCCCTAGAGTATGTTTTGCCTACTAAATGGCATATCAAATATAGAGTGAGATCTAAATCATCCCATATATGATGAAGTCATTATGTATTGAAGAGAAAAGTAGAAGTATGACCATGAAAAGTTTGTTTTTCAATTGCATATTGGATACCTCTGGAGTATGCAAGCTTCTTCTCAAGATAGGTTTTTTGGATGTGGGGGGAGTCTATATCTAAGCATGCTACTGCATTCTTAAACTTAAACTTTGAATGTAATGATACTACTACCTTTACTTTTTTGAGGCTTAAGTGTGCTATTACTAGTATTTTTCACTAAAATTTATAACTGAAAAGGAACTTCTGAACGTGATTGCATGTTGTAGAACTTCTACAGGACCCATGGCATGCCTGTGGAAATGAGTATCTTTTATTGTGGGTTGAATTATTTTGGAACAATAAGAGACGAGAATGGGATCAATAATTGATTTATTTTTCTTCGACAATTGGTTGAGAGGCTGTACTGTATAGGCTTCACTGAGAAATAGTAATCAACTTCCTCTTGCAATTTGCTTCTCTTATGCTGAATAACCTGTTTTATATTTTATAAGTTGAAATGGTTCTCATAACACTATGGTTTGTATTTCTCCTCATTTGATGTGATATTTTTTCTTTTGCACTATTAGATAGAATATTTTCAAAGGTTTCTTGTCAGCATTTGACATCTTGTTATATTTATAAATTTCTGCAGAGTCGGATATAAAATCATATTAGGCAGTCATTTTGGTCATATAGTATTTATTCAACAAGTTCATCTATTTATACACCAAAGTGCTTTTTTTCCCACTCATTGCATTTCATGTCGAGCTTCTTGGTCTACTATCATATGAGTGTCGAATTGCAAGTAAATTTTGTTGTTGTGTGTTACAGCTTGCCTGCAAGAACTTGGGTCTTGAGGAAGGCATGTTGGTGTGAGTGCAGTCTTGGATCATGATCTCAGGGGATTTGGTTTTTCTATTATGGTCAATATATTTATGGGAAATGCAACTATCATTATTTTGAGTGGTATGGGAACTCCATCGGATGCTTGTGTCATTTTGCTGGAAAGCCATTTTTATGTGTATGTTCAGGGATGTTGGGGGACTTAATAAAATGGTTTTGTATAGCGTGGGGAAAACAAATGTTGCCCTGTACAAGCTGTTTTCTCTTAAGGATAATTGAGATGCAATATGGTCTGTGAGTGTTTTTGGATACCACCATTATCAATTGCAACAGTAACCTTGATTTAAGTGGTAAGGGACAATGGGGCTGGTATGTTTGGGGTGTGATCAAGTGTGCAGGCTGCCTTTCGACACCTGGAATTATTGCAGCTAGCTGATGGGTATCTGGATCAGGTTTTTTTTTTTTTTGTTTTAGTTGGTGGTAAATTCCTGGTAACTGGTAAATTCTAGAAGGTATCTGAATCTGTGTTGGAATTATTGTTGCAAGAATCGGTGGCTTGATTGGGATTTTCATTATTTTAATTTACTCTTCAACATTTGGATGGTTGAATCAGGTTGAGTTGAATGGTTCTTAGTAGCTGTTCAGGAATTCTACTTTTCAGCATTGCTACATCAAGTCTGAAGTCCATAAGAACTGGGGAATTCTATTATCATCTCATTTTTCTAGTCTCTGTTGTGCTGTTTAGTTTTTGTTTAATTGGTGATTATTTAGTCTGGGAAGTTGCTGCATACCTCTTTAAAATCTTGGGTGATGGTCTCCATTGGGTTCCGATTTCCAATTTACTTTAACTGGCTGTATGGGGCAGGTATTAACCGGTGGCAGATTGAACATAAAAAGTACCATTTTGTGTCAAGGCAGGTTGTAATGGCTTCAGCCTACCTTCTACCTTGAGCTATGGGGTACTGTGGTTGATAGGAACATATATTGTATGAACTGTTTCTAATAAAACACTCTGGTTTCTGAAGATAATTGGGACTAATTGGTAGCTACTTGATTTTGTGAATTATTTGGCTACTGTGAACATTAGTGTCTTCTACTGGTGGAGTACTTCGTCTTCCTGCTCTTATTGAAGCATGTTTTGACTGAAGTTCCTGGGACATGCTTGTGATTGGGTTTTGCTGGTTTGTGCTGGATTCAAAGTTTCATTCCCATTGCTTTTGTGAAGTTATGGCTGCTCCTGATAAATTGTATTGGTGTTGGTAGTTCAGTGCTTAGGCTAGAAACATATCTTTAAGGATGCTGTTGGTGATGAAATAGCTGGGGATGGCATGTTAAAGTAGGAAAACTGGACTTGATTTGTTCTCATATATAGGTTGTGGTGATTTCAAGTAATTGGTTTTAGTTATCTCCCCCTCCAGTTGTATTCAATATAATATGGGCTATCATTCTGAGAGATAGCAACAGACCTTTATCATGCAAACGCCTTGCTCTTCCACGCTTGATATCTCCTTTTATACCACTTTTTATGGGGAGATGCCCTGCCTGATGATTGATGTCATTGCAATTTTGTTGAATTGGTTATTTCACAGTTTTTGGGTTAAATCTGCGGCTAGCATTGCTACTTTGCTCATCTTTAGACTTTGCTGGCTTTTTTCCAGGGTATAGACTTCGTGCAGGTTCTGGTTCTCCTGTACGTCGTAGGGATGCAGATCGCCGATACAGTTCTGATTTTGATAATTCAGGGGCCCCACCTCGAGGTCGTGATTTCAGCAATGGGAGGGATCGTGGCAGATTTCGAGATTCTTCACCCCCTTATGCTCGAGGAAGAGGTGGCGGCAGACCACTTGGCAGAGGTTTTGATGGGCCTGGATTTGGTCCAGGGCCTCTTAGAGGGGAGGGCATGAGTAGGAATAATCCAAATGTACGCCCAAGGGAAGGCGACTGGATCTGCTCTGATCCTTTGTAAGTTCGTTGTCTTTTTTTTTTTTTTGTAGTGATAAAAGAAAAGGTTTTACACTTTAACAATTGATTTTGTTTTAGCATGTTTCTTATGATACCATGAGATGGGGTGCCTTCGGATCTTATGCTATTTTTTCCTGTCTCAGATGTGGCAACCTGAACTTTGCAAGGAGAGAGTACTGTAACAACTGCAAAAGGCCTCGATATAGACCTGGGGGGAGTCCTCGGCGGGCCTATCCTGGCCCTCCACCTCCACATGCTCCTCCAAGACGCTTTCCTGGTCCTCCATTGGATCTTTCTCCAGGCAGGACCATGAATGGCTATAGGTCTCCTCCTCGAGGTTGGTCCAGAGATGGACCCAGAGATTTTGGGCCTGGTGGTCCTCCACCTCCTAGGCAAGGAGGCAGGTTTTCTGACCATGATATGCGGAGGGAGCGGTCTGATTATCCAGATGATGAGTACAGGGGGAGGAACAAATTTGATAGGCCTATGCCAATGGACTGGGGTCATAAAGACCGTGGAAGGGATGGCCTTTTCAATGAAAGGAAAGGGTTTGAGAGGCGGCCACCCTCTCCACCTCTACCTTCACCTTCACTTCCTCAACGTGGCAGATGGGGACGTGATGGGAGAGATAGGAGCAGATCACCAATTAGGGGAGCTCCACCACCAAAAGAGTTTCGACAGGATATGTACATGGAGCGGGGGCGAGATGATCGGCATCCTGTTGGGCGAGACAGAATGAGACATGTGTATTGACTGTAGTGAGGCTATGGAGTTTGATTGGTTCATCTTGGTATAATAGTAATTGTGCTCTTTGTTGGGTGATGATGGATGTTATGGCACAGCTCTGAATTTATTAGCGTTTTCCGACTATTTTAAAGATTGCGTGATTTTTTTTATTAATTTTGTTTGGAAATTTATCTTAGGTATGATGCATTAATTTGGTTATTCAATCTTATTTTTTTTAAAAAAAAAAAAAACACTTGGAACCGGTTTATAGTTGTAGTTACAGTCGCCGTATCACTTGCGGCACCGAAACTAATTTTTTGCTGCTCTCGGATGGTTTTTTTTTTTAATTTATGAAAAATGCACTTAGTTACAATTTGGCATGTTAAGCAGTGGTGCAATGATTCATCATATAATTTACTACTGTGATTATCAAGAATACAAGATGGTGTCTGCATATTTATTATTTGAGAAATTTAAACTTGTAGTTTTGGTTTTTTTTTTTTTTTAAAGTTTACTTGCTATACTTTCCAATTTACATTCGTAGTCAACAAATTTCTTAACATGATAAACTGACCAATTAACATACCAATCGTGACTTTTTCGTTTAAATTAGTTTCTTCCTCATTCTGAACCCAAATTGAATAAAAATACTATTGTTTCTAATTGATTTTTCACACAATTTCTTTTGTTTAATTGTGGTTGTGTTTTTATATATAATATTGTTGGAATCTTGTACGAGAATTTCATTTGGAGCTCGGTAACAAACATGTGTGTTTTAAATTTTTTTTTGGATTGAGATTTCAAAAATCATTTCTAATGCATTTTGTTATTATTATTAAACAATTAATTCATTTGTTTATAAGTTGCCTTTACTTTATGTAAATAAAAAGCACAAATTTATGAATGTACAAACATAAATCTTGATGGTAGAAAAACCACAAGTCTATTAGTCTTGTTTAGTCTACAATAATCAACATCTCAAACACAATCTTGCTAGTGGAAAAACAATTAGTCATGTTTTTTTTAACACTTAGAAAAAATCTCTAATTTGAAAATATCATATTAATGTTTACATAACTTTGTTTTTTAATCTTTTCTTCAAACATGTTTAATTAAATTTTTGACTCTTCTAATAACTTTATTTAATTATCAAATTTCGTTATTTTTTAATAAAAAAAACCTTAAAAAACCTCAAATTATTTCTCATGGGTTAGGGTTCATATAACCCTATTTTTATAATCATTGCTTTAAACATGTTTGATTGATATAATAAAGCTTTTATTAACTTTGTTTAACCTAACAAATAATATTTATTTGGAAATCCTAAAAAACTCCTAAATTGTAGCTTATGGTATTGTTCATACATCCTTAGTTTGTTTAATAATTATTTAACCATAATGTAATAGTATATTCTTTACCATTGTATTATACAAAATGCTCATCAACATGATGGTTCTTTGTATGTCTAAAAAAATTGATGTTCTAACTATATATCTTACATAAACATATTGTTCATATACAAACAAGTATATGACGTCGATTTTAATGGCTTTTAAAAAAAAAAGATAATAGAAAAAATAAGATTGTTGATGATGCCTCAACATTACATATATTAAGTATGCATGAACATGAACTTAAAGAAGAAATTTATATAAATGTTGTATTGATACTAATATTGATCCTTTGATATTGAGAAAGCCTTATGTTATTTGGGCAAGCCCAATAATAGTAGGATACTTGAAACTAAATATTTTTCTTCATATGATGAAGAAGTTGAAAAAAGCAATAAAATTTTACTACTTTTGGGTTAAAAGATTTGAATTTTGATGAATATGAGTAGAGTAAATAAAGTGTTATTACTTTTGGGTTGTGGTTGATAGATCCATTAAGTATAAAAAATCTCATGTTTTCACCAATATCAATCATTCCAGAGATGTGTTAAGATAGTATGAAATGAAGAATAAATATCACCTTAAAAATATATTAATTAGAAAGAGAAGGTTGCAGCAACATGTACTAGTGATGATTGTACTTGACGGGTATATGTTTCTCTCCTTCCAAGTATTAACACATCTATGGTGAAGTCTATAAGATAGAAACATAGCTGCTTTTGGCCTACAAGTATAAAAGTTACTAATTTAACATAGATAGCAAATAAATTGTTACAAATAATTTATGGTGACCCAAACATTTTAAATAAAGCCTAGTACAATTCTAGAATATAAGTTTGGGATTAAACTACACTTAATGCAATTATGAAAAGCTAAGAACAATACGGAAATGTATTTTTAAGGAAGTCATAATAAATCTTTTAATAGACTCCCTATGTATATATGTAGTTGTTGAAGCAATATAATCTAGATTTTGATTTGTTTTTAGGGTTTGACTATATTACAATTCAAAAATGTATTCACTATGAAAGTTTCAATGAGTTTATATTTATTTGAAAGTGATGAATGATAGCCTTATTAATTGATGTAGGTCATTCATTGGGATAGAAAGATATTATCTCAGTAGTCCATATGGAGGAGTCATATTATCGAACACATGACAATAATTTATATATGAATATATGAATTCATTGAGCGAGGAATACATTAGAGGCCATTTTGCATAATGTCTAGCAAGCAAAAGGTAAAATTTGTTTTGTCTAACCATGGTGAGTGTTTTTGTATCTATCTAAAAGTATTTTATTTTATAGAGACTACTAGAAACTATTGTTGAGATATTTTTGGCGACAATACATAAGCATTGTTAAGGGCATATTTATGTTATTTGGAAGAAAAATGATTTTATGGTTTGGAACTCAAGATCAGGTTTTATGGTATCTCAAAAGCTTACTCAAATCTTAATTTTTACAACTATCTAAGGAATATTAGGTTATGCATTTGCTAAACCATGAATTAAGTAGAAAATATAACTAATAACTTTGCGAAATCATTTAAAAGCTGAGTCTAGAATTACAGGAGTATGACAATTGTTATGTTACTAAAGAAAATTATGATGAAACTTATAGTTAAGTTTTATGATTGGTTTGCTCAGGCTATAGGTTATGAAACAAGATAACACCTTATGTTAGAAAGTTATTGGACAAGTTTATAGTGAAGATAAAATATATGAGAATGATTCTATCTAGTTTTGATGAATATGAAATCTATGAAGGCCAAACCAAACTCTGTGTTCATTTAGAGAAAAGATAATGCCCTTGTGGCTGAGGGATAATGACTAGGATTCTATATAAACATATGGTTTAATATGTATATCAAAAAAGAGTTAAGTTATAAGATGTATGTTATGCGTACTATACCGTTAAAACATTTAGAAAGATATACTTTTAAGTGTGCATTTTTTACAAAAAATTGATCTAGATCATAATGAAAGACATGCAATTTTTCTACCTCTAAACCTTGAAATGAGTGTGGGTAGACCGGGAGAGTATAACAAATGAAGAAAAAAGAGAAGATCTGGTACTATAAGAAAAAAAGATCTTCCATACTTAGATGCAACATTTGCAAGTTATATGACTAAAATCTTAGGACATGCCAAAGAGATATTCCTAAAAAAATTACAAGTGGAAAGTGGTGGTAGAGTATTCATAATTAAAAAGAGATCAAAGGGAATCAATGATGCTAACCAAGGCTCAAGAGATAATAGGGTGGCAAAAATCATGCTAGTACATCCTTTTCTCAACCCTTAACACGAACACATGTGATTCTATTAAATATGTTGATAATTATATTAGTTTAATAAAAAAATTATTGATGTTTTTTTTAATTACAAACTTATATATTTATATCATTTTAACACTTTATCCAAAGTAATTTTGTTGATTAAAGAATATAGAAGAAGACTTGTGATTTTGAGTGATATGCTATTTCTATTTAATTGCTAATGCTTTTTTTTTTTTTATTACAATATGGATGTAATATATATGGATTTTTGCTATTGAGGTGTTTTTTTTTTTTCTAAAAATGCTTTATTGTTAATGATTTGTTGTTTTTTTTTTCCACAATATGAATGCTATATTGTTGTTAGCAAAGCTACCTTATGAATTTATTTAACATATTTATGTTCTTGCATTTTGCCTAATAATTAATAGTTGGGAATACATTGTTTTGCATTATTTGTTCGATATGAACAAGATAATAAATACAAATAATAACATTACTCATACGAAATTAACTACTAGAAACAACTTGACACTTACAAATCTAGCCTCTATATTATATTTTTTTGATCCAAACTCTACGTGGTTTATCTTTTATTTTCTTAAATTTATGTACCCCTATCATAGTTAATGCAATTTTATTTATAGGTTTGCACTAATTAATGAAGATATAGTCATGTAACATGTTATCATATATGTAGAATAACTTGTTTTTACTAGTTTTTGTTTACGATATTCTAACAACTACTATGTCTCTACATTTGATTCTTAAACTTTAGTTCATTCAAGTTGTTGTAACTTTGTATGATATTAGCATTTTATAAAGATGATGATATAATGATGATATCTTGATAAGCTTTGTGGTTGTTGTAATATAACTTTTTAACTCTAGTCCCTACAAATTCATGCAGTTTATGTTTAATGGTGGGTAGGGGTGATTATTTTCAGTTCAGTTTTTATAAAAAAAAAGGTTCAAACCGACTTGTTTTGATTATTTTAGAATAAAAACTGATTCAAACCAATTTTTCTATTTTGGCTCGGTTTTTTACGGTTTGGCTTGGGTTTTTTTCTGATTAAGCTAGGTTTTTTTCTAAGTTTGCCTCAAGATTTTTCTAGGTTTGGCTTGTTTTTTCTCAATTTGGCTTGGGATTGTAGGTTAGGCTTGGTTTTTTCTAGTTTGGCTCAGTTTTTTTTCTTTGGATTCGATTTGATTTTTTCAATTTTAGACTTATAAAACCGAAACCAAACTGGTTGGCTTTTTAAAAATTCTAATTAGTTTTTTTGCTTACCTCTAATGCTGGGCAATGTGTGTTTGGTGGTAGGCAATGTGCATGCTGAATATTTTAAGTAATGTATGGATTGAGATTTTTTTAAAATTCTTGCAATGTTTTGGTGGAATTTTAGCAAGTTTGTTTGCTAGAATTATAAACAAAAAAGAGATATGAGTTATTGTGCTCAAATGGTATGTGAAAATGGGTAGTTTGTGGCCGAAATATTTGATAGGTTTGTTGTGCTCAAATGGTATGTGATGGGCAATATGTTGC